GTCACTATCACATTCTAATATATCTTGCTCTTAGCATACCTGCTTCATTAGGCCCCTCAAACCTCAGGTGACTCAATGATCTCAGAGGTTTTTTCCAACCCAATCGATTCTGTGACTGGGACATGACTGGTTTAAACAGGAACTAGGAATTTACAGAGACCTTTTATTAAACACAGTTATTCTAGTTTTAAGGAACATATTGATTTTATGAAAAAAGGAAAAAGAAATTTAAAAAAAGATAAGGAAAATGCTGACAGACACAAGGAGCAGAAGCAGAGGAGGAGACAAGTACTGATTTCCTGCTCAAAAGCACTTTACTGGCCACTGCTCTCCATGAACATGGCCTGGAGGCTCAGAACAACCCCTCCATCCTGGTGGCAAAGGCAGTACTCCCTTTAACCAGAAGTATGGAAACAATCTCTGACCAACAGCATGTATACACCTTTTAGTTTTACTACTTCTGGTTGGAACTCCGTTTTATCCAGAAATGCTGTTTCTCTGAAAAGCTGAATCCCAGGGGGACAGACATCTCATTACACAGACACCAAAGAGCTGACAAACATCAAAAATGCAGAGAAGACACACACCTTACAGAAAGCACTTCTTTCCCCCAGTCTTATCCTCCATACTTATCTGTAAGCCCTCAGCCTATTGTGTTCTTAAGATAAGGTCACCCTTAGCAGAATTGTCCAAATACATCATATATAATGTCCCTCCTGCAACATTTCACTCTAACCGTACCCTCGTAAAGGATGTATGGAAAAGCACTGTTATCATGTGGTCAATAGAGACACAATGAAGTTCAGAGCACTCAATTCCAAAGGAAGTCTAACAGCACTGGATTATTTTTATAGGAAGGAACAACTACTATCTTATCTATTTCTCCTGGCAAACTTGGAAAATCAGAAATCTTCATGACAACTTGAAAGACAAGAGTGGGATGAGAAATGAGCTGACAGTGACAATGTACTGCAGCGAAGGGAAGTCGGGAAATTGATTTTTTTAAGATCACGAAACATTAAGTACCAAGAAGTGATGTGAACAGGTGCATACACAGGATTGCATATAATCTTGCTTTGTCATGCTCAAAGACATATATTTTTCATAAACGCACAAAGTATTTGCTAAGTTAATCAAAACCTGTTTACAGCATTACCGTGGTATGCCAATTTAAATGCTAAATATTAAGACTTGCTGACATAAAGTACTTTAAATCTTACAATGCCCTTCTATTGACAAATATATAACCAGAAATCTTGATAAAAACAAACATGAAATTAAATGTTGCAATAAATGAAATAGTAGATACTGTGTCTTGTTATAAAGGTACAAAATCAACACAGCATACACAAAAGGTACTAATCGTTAGACCCTAAGTCATGAGATGTGATTACCGATGGGAAATCATCCCAAAACAGCTTCTCTGAAAGCCAGGTTATGTGATATTTTTAATAGTTAACCACTAATTGCCTACTTTATTTCTTTCAAAGTTTGTGTGTAATTAAGGAAAAGGCAATTAATTAAAATTAATAACCAATCAAAGCATTCTAGGACACTTACTCATTTGAGCACAAGCAGAGGTGGCATTTCATACACCTAAATGAGGTGTTGAAACAAAGGGCATCTTTGCAGGACAGAGCGGCATTTCAGAAAAGAACTTGCAAGTAAAGTTTTAAATTAAGAGTACAGTGTAAACAAAGTGGGTTTTGGAGGCACAGACAGGTAAATGTGCAATGTAACCTTCTCTTGCTCTTAGCTAAAAAGCCTTAGACATACCAAAGACTAAGAGAATACTGATGAGATAAACTGTGTAAGGCTTAAAGAAGACAACATGAGAAAAGCTAAAAAAATCTGAAAAACATTTCAATTAAATGTTCAAGAAGGTGAAGTTTTCAGTCATGGTTGTTTGAAAGGATGACTTCAACAGTCTATCAATATCTAAAAATACGTTAACTGTATGTATGTAAAGGGCTCTTCAATGAAACAGGCCAAAGTATAACAGGATTCACTGGATGTGACTTAAAATCATGAGAGTTTTGAGTAAAGTCAGAAGTTTGGTGGGAACTTTAATGGAATCTCAACTGTTGGACAAAAATCTAGACTAATGACAACTTTGTGCATTTTTTAACTTTCTGCTGTAAGTAGAAAAATGAGAAACACCTTTGCATCCAAACCACACTGAAGGAGAAAAACCAGACCTTATTTTCATGGCATCAGAAGCCACCTGAGACAGCCACATTATTCAACATTAACCCAGCACTCCAGTTATACTTAAAATTGACAGTGAGCCCTCAGCCAATGCTTTCTGCTGTCTTCAAAGCTGACGCTCTATTTCACATCAGTACCTCAACAAAATACCAAAGGCTCACGGTCAAAGCCTGAAATATCAGCAAAGCCAGTGCCCTCAGCTCTTTCTTCTGTTAAAATCTGGTCATGCTTTGTTGGTACGCTTTGCATTTCCCTTGCCACACTCCAGCTATGAGACATAAAATTACCCTGAGAATTGCTGTGGACATCTGCCTACTCTGACTGAAGCCTTTCTGAAAAGGTCTCAACCAGCTGTAGGAGACTTTTCCACCTGACTCTTCTCAGATCTTTTGAGGCCTGCAAACCACCTACTAGCATTTTCCTTTTCAGCCACAAAACAGTTGCAAGAAAAAATTCCGACGTGTATCCAAAGAGGGAAACCACATCAGCATGATTCAAACATCAACATGTTTGGCAGAGAACACACAGCTGATGATGCACAGGTTCAGCTTCACTATCCTAGTGTGAAGTTACAGATCTGATAGACAAAGATGATGTCAATTGTTAGAAACAGGCAAGCTTTCACTACAGGGGAGAAAAAAAACCAAACACCTTTGTCTCTTTCCACGAAAAGCCTGGAAGCGCTGTTTTAAGGAAACCAGCTGCCAACAGTTACCAAAAAAGCAGATTGATGTCCTAGAACATTAAGTTTTAGCTTCCTCACAACAACAGACCTGCAGAGGTTGACAGTGTGAACCACCAATGATATCTTCAGTGGAAAGCCTAGCATTTAATTGCTGTTTGATGCACAAAAGAGATAAAGTGAATGTTTAGATCATGGTTCAGTATTGTTTCATGGAGTAATCTGTCACCTTACTGGTGTTTTAAGGTTCATGCAGCATATGTATTACCTGCATTTTATGTCAGCACACAGGTCTCAGTTTAAAAACCCCTCAATGAAAGAGACAAAAGAACTAACCTGATTAAATGTCATGAAAGCAGCAGCTCAACAGACTGCATTTTTTCAGCTTTACTGGTCAATAAACAACATAGCACATGGCAGGGTACTTCAGATCCCATTGTTAACTTTGACAGTATCTGGTCAAAAAAGCATTTTGATTCAATTACAGCAGCTTCAGTTTGTGCAACTGGTGTCACAAACTTCGAGGATAACAAGAGTTACAAAATTCTAGCCCAGTTCAACCATACAACTGCTTGTCCTTTCCCAACTAAGAACCAAAGACTTGTAACATGCCAGTGCTGTGTTTTACGTTTTTTGACCTCGATTATTAAATAATAATAATAATGATTACTTAACTTGAACTATTTCCTGGGGGAGAGGGAAGTTATCCTCTCTCCCCTCCACCCTTCCTACAAGGACGCTTCCCATGCCTACTATGAAAACTCCGGCATAGTTTGAATAAATCAAGTTTTCCAAACCACCATTGTTTAAGGAAGAAAATTATCAGCAGTCATAACCCTCATTTCCTTTGGCATCAGATGAGAACACAGTGCTCACTGGTGAGTTTACCCATCTCATTATTAAGAACAGTTTGTTACGAGACAACATGCTGCAGTTTCACAAGCTACAATGTGGGTATGAAAACATAACATTGCCTTTGAAGCTTACTTTTCTGAACCTTCAAAATACACATTTCCTCTCCAAAGAGGAGTATCGTCTGTCTTTCTGTTTAAGAGATCGGGTTGATTTCTGCACTCTTCCCAATGGCAGCAACATAGCAGCCCCTGAGCTCTCCCTGCCCTGCCTCTATCCTGATTAAAATTCATCCTCAATATGGCATAAATAAATAACCAGCTGGTTGTTTTTCTCTCCTAAGCCGTAAGCGCTAGAAGAAAGCATTGCTCAGCTGCACTGGGGAAACCTACTAGAAAAGACAAAAGGAAAAAAAATAGCATTAAACATCGCACATCCAAATCAAGGCACCTGGAAAAATGACGGATGCTTGAGGAGAACCCAGACCCGGTGTGCATCACCAATCTAACACCGCCGGTGGGTCCCAGGCGGCCAGGCCGGGACTGCCCCCCGCCCCCCCGCCGTCTCACCGGGCCCGTAGAACTTGCTGCCTTTGGTCACGTCGAAGACTTTGCCGTTGACAGCCAAGAGGATGCGAGGGTTGCGGGCGCCGTCGAACTCGCGCAGCTGCTCCAGGGAGAAATCCCGGCGCTTCATGCGCGGCAGCGGGGCGGCCTCGCCCCTCCGGGCCGAGCCTCCCGGCCCGCTTCGTGTCCCCCAGCGCAGGTACAGCCGGTAGGCCGCCAGCAGCGCTAGCGCCAGCAGCCCAATGCTCAGCAGCATCTGGCCGCCCGTCGCAGCGGCGCCGCCACCCCGGCCGCCTTCAGTCCTGAGCCGCCCCTGCCCATCGTCCGCCATCGCTGCCCGGACAGCGCGCGCCCGCCCGGGACACGCCCGCTGCCGGACACGCCCCCCTGCCCGCCGTCCCGCCCGCTTCCCATTGGCTGCCGGTCTAAGGCGGCCCCGCCCCCACCCCGGCTCGCGCCCCGCCGGCGAATCGGGGCGCGGGCCAGCCCCGCGACGAGTCTCAACGGTGCGCGTGCGCGCTCCGCTCGCGCGAGAGGTGCCGCAGCCTCGAGCGCGCGTGCGCGCAGCAAGTCCCGCATTCCCTTTCCGCCTCCGCGCGGCCGCTCGCCCAGGTGGTGTTGGCGAGAGCGTGGCGGCGGGTTGGGGGTGCGTCTCGTGCGGGGTCGCTCGCGCCGCCGCGTCACGGCGGCGGGCGGGAACCTCCGGGCGAGGCGTGAGGGGACTTGAGGGGTGAAGGGTGAGGACTGAGGGTTGAGGGGGCTGAGGGCGGAAGGCTGAGTCCCTCCGCCTCTGAGGGCACGGCGTTAGACCCGCGGGGTGAGTCGCGGGAGGCGCTAGCCCCCGCCGGCACCGGAGAAAGAAAGGGTTAAAGGCCGGCAGTGTTTGGCCACCGCGGTACAGCCACGTCGTACAGCGCCCGCAGGGCAGCTGCTGAGTGAGCGACACGTCTACGCAGGGCTCTGAGACAGCGGCGCTGCCCACTCGGGTGGCACGGGGCTGGTCTTGGAAGGGAGGGAAGCCTTTGGAGGTGGCGCTGGGAGGCTGCACTTCACTACTTAGGGTAAATGCACACTCTTCGTTTCCTGCTGTTAGAAAGCGGAGTGATTCGTAACAGAAGGCTGATCTAGTAGGATTACCCCTCGTGCTATGAAATGTAGCAGTGATGGCACATAGGTGGCTCTCGTATAGCTTTTTAAGTACAACTGATGCTCGGTAGTGAGTTTACTCAGTAATGTGAGGAGAAAGACTTCTTAAAGGTTTTATTATTTTCACGGAGAGAGAGGGTTTGTGTAGATCGTCTCAATAGGATGACACCTAGAACACAAAGACCGGGGCAGAATGTAGCCCTTCTGTGCCTCTCACTTTGTGTTCCCAAAGCAGCACTGACCGTCTCATGGGATGATTTGGAAGAGCCACTCTATAAATATGTAACTGGGCCAGGGAATATAAGCCTGGCTCAGCAACTCTCCCTGTGGCTGGAATGTGGTACAAGAAGTACTTCGGACTTGAGAAACGCTGTTATTCCATGTAACTGCTTGGTGCTGAAGCATCCCTGCCTTATACCAGCCGTAGGAGTAATTCACAATCGTATAACTCGCTTACAAAAGTTGGAAAACAAATGTTTTCACCAGAAAACTGGGAAGACAGTGCAAGAAACTCAACCCAGTGGAAAATAACATGATACTTGGCATTTACGTAAAGCCTTGGGTTTTCAACATCCTGTGTAATGAGTAGGTGTTTAATCTTCTGCCCTCTGAGCCGGTTCAGTAATGACTACTTCTGTGATGAAACAGGATAAAGTTCTTCACAGTTAAAGATCTGCAATTAAACTACTACTACTATTCTCCTTATCCAAGTAGGCTCTATTTAATATATGTATAAGTAAACACTATTAAGAAAGTGCTTTTATCTCAACAAGTCACAACTTGATTGTGGTTAACAATAGTTTTTATTACAGAATCATAACACGTTTGGATTGTCTGTGCACAGCTATGGTGCAGGCCAGAAAAATATTTCCTTCCTTCATGAGTTTAATTTAGATTTTTCCCCATCATCTTCATGTGTTCTCTTAACTTCCTTTGTATTTCAAAGATGGGTTCAGAAAACACAAATAAATAGTAAGAGATGTGAAATACTTTTACCTGTCTTCCTACTAAGATCTTATCTCTACATTCATACATTCTTCACGTTTCTTTGAGAACATGTGGTTTCCCACTGCATGAATGTGGTGGTGTGCCAAATTGTGCTAAATCCTGGCAGGAATAATTTCAGAAATCAGGCAACTCTAAGCATTCTAAGCTTCCTTTTTCTGTTCTGGATCCTTTCTTAAGAGAATATATTGGTACCTGAGCTTGGCTGGGACACCTTGACTTAGTTCTGTGAGCCTTGGATCTAGTACAGCAAAACGGTGGCTATTTTTGATCCCCACATAATAGCTGGAAACCAAGAAGAGCTCCAGGAACCTGCCCTAGGGAAATTAAATCATTTAAAAGATCAAGTTTAGAAGAATTGTACTTGAAAGAATTTAAACACTAGAAAATAGACAAATATATTAGAAACAGTGTAACACCAATACTAAGTATACCTGGATTAGACCATTTCCAAACCCGTCATCCTGATTAGGGGTAGACAAGTTTCAACTTCAGTCAAATTTTGTTACTATGCTGGTTAGCTTCGCCTGCCAAAGAAATGCCAGAAAACAGTTTCTCCATTATGACCAGTATTTCTTCCTCACCTGTCTCTGGTTTGCCAAGACAAAAGTCACACAACTACAGAAGTCTCTTAGTGTTATTGTGCTGCTTCTGCTGTTCTTTATGTGCACTTCTTAGTGGTTCTTTAGGTATGAACAAGCCTTATTTTGATCTAGCCAGCTGTCATAGATCCTGATCCATGATTGGGAAGCCCACATATAGCTAATGTACATAATTGTGAGTGTCAGTGGGGTAATTACAGCAATATGATTAAAGGAGTGAAAGGAAAATCAGACACTGTGGGTTACCTGTGGGAAGAATATCTCAGAATTTTCCAAATTCTGAAATCAATGCACACCTCATTCATACGGATTTGATCTGATGAGCAAACAAAGTAGTAATAATGTTTACATATCACAGTTTCCCATAAAGAGCTTGGTAAGCCCTGGAAAAACATGTCTGAAAGAACATTACCAAGTTTCTAATTACAGATGTTATGGTTTTGGTTGTTCCTGAGTAATTATTTAGTTTTATAGGGGTTTTTTACCTGAGAAAATTTGAAGAATACCTTGAAAATTAATAGCTCATCACTATAGTCATATGCAATTTCATCTTTTTTACTTCATCTTTTGGATAACTTTTCCATTAGGAGGTGAATGCCTCAACTCAAAGTTATATTGTTCACTTTTTATTTTCAAACATTGCTTACTGCAGGCTTTGAAAGGAAGACAACTCAGGGAAAAACACAACGAGAGCACAGCTTTACAAGCAGAAATCTAACTCTGACACAAACCTCATGGCTGAGGCTTATTTTCTATGGATTTTGAAGCTGAAGAAACATCTCTTATCACACAAGGACAGGCTACATTCAGTATAGATTAGGAGGTGGACTGTGTGTCAAGGAATGTAGGGATTTCTGAGTAAATTTGAAATAACAGTCAATCCGCTCCATTGATTTTGGGTATTTTTAAACCCAGCTTAATGTATGGGATGCACTGATGATTGTGTTTTAAGCTGATGCAGCTTGGAAATGCTTACTGATGAAGTCAGTGCAGTGCTTGATGTCTTATTTCAAAATAGTATCTGCCTGTATTCCTCTACACATATTTATTTCATATTTATTTTAAATGCTACAATTTTTTTTAATGTCACGTCACAGGGTCTTTTAATGAAGGACTGCTGAATTCTTGAGAAATTTCATTCAGAATTCAAAATATAGTATGAACAGTCATCTTGCAAAATTTATGTTGACCCACTGTGCTAGTTTTAGCTAGGGTAGAGTTAATATTCACAGTGGCTGGTATGGGGCTCGATTTTTCATTGGTACAAAGTCTGCTATTTTTTCTTAGTCTTTAGAAACAGTGTGATGTCTGAAGTGCTTGGTCATAATGTCATAGAAGTAGATTCAGCTCGTCTCTAACGTAACAGTGTGATTTTGTTCATCCCTTATAAAGTTCTCTGTCTAAGGGAGTGTTTCACAGAGAAGTCTCTAGTCCACACTGGAACCAGCAGGAATCTCCGAGCATCTGTCAAGCGCTGACTTGTATGCTAGAGATACATCTTCAAAACCCATATGCCAATGCATTTGCACAGGCAGATTTTTAACAAAACATCTTGTTTGGGATATTTTTAGCTGTATGTGTGTGGCTCCGTTTTCAATGGTGACTTGAGAACTGCAGTAATTAGACTGTAGTGAAACAGCAGTGCAAGTATCCAGGCAGGCCTTTAGGCATAATAATTTGAAGTCCTTAAACCAACTGCAAATAATTTTAGTATTTCCAACCCATTATTCCAACTCAGTCCTTGACCATACAGGTACGCCCCTGTGCATACTGGGCAGAGTTGTACTGTGTGTATTTTACTACAACACTGGCAAAACAAGCACTTGAGTAACCACATTATATTTATCTGTGCAGTTAGTATAGTTAAATTCCATTAAGTCAGTGAGAGCTTTTCCAGTGGTTTTAATTTCACAAATTTAATAATAGTAGTAACCTTGTATTGGTTTTAAAAAAAGCTAGGTTTGTTTGTTCGCTTCCCCCATAGGAAACATCACTAACATAGATAGTTTTAGTATTAAAACAATATTGATTTAGCCCAATTTCAGTGGATGCTTTTTTTTTTTTAATTTAAACTCTCTTGGGATTATCTTTATGAAATGCTGTTGTGTTTACATGTACATATTGTTTTGCAACATGATATCACTTATGTAAAAATTCCTGTGGTATTTTCCTTGGTTCACCACAGTCATCATCTTCTAGGTTGTCCACAGGTGTCTGCTTCAGCAGCTGTTCTCACTGTGTTAGTGTTGATATACAGTTGTCAACTGCATTAACTGTACATTAAAGATCACAAAGAGAAGTTGGTCACAGGTCCAAGTTCCTGTATCTTTTTGTCCTGCTTACTTGCCTTTCCATCTCAGTTCCATTAAGTCTATGAGGTATTTTTTATTCCATTTAGTCTTAAATCACAATATTTTTATGGACTGTTCCAGACTACTCTTCAGAGAGACAGCCAACAAATCCCTGTTTTGACAAGCCAGTGATTCATAGTACCTCACCAGAGGAGTAGATCTGCTTCTGGATTTGATAACATGCCCCAGTTTTTGGGTTCATTTCAAAAATGGCTACTAGTTATCCTAGGAGATTTAAGCAACAAATTCACAGATGTCCCCTGCAGGATCAAAGCGAAGGAACCAATGTTTCAAGCCAATATACAGTTTTTAGCCTTATCTGTTACAGTGTTGGCTTTTCCTAGAGAGATTGGCTTCTGTAAAGGTCAAAAGCCATTTAGGAAGCTTATGCAGAAGTTTATTACCACTCTTCCATCCCAAAGTCCACCTAACTATCGAGGGGGAGAATGGTAAATACGCAGCCAAGTGTAAATGTGTCATAGGCACATATTTTAAATAGGCACCATTCATACCATTAGATGCCTTTTCTTTAGTGTGTTGTCATAATCTGTAGAACTGCATCGTTTGCACATAACGGGATACAGATTGCGATACAGCTGTCGTGACTTGGATTACTGATTTTAGACCTCTTCATTGGACAAAATTTGTCAGGATTCAATGTCGCCAAAGATCAATCTGTCCTTGTAAGTCTTTTTCTTTTTTTTTTATGGAGGGGGATGTATGAAAACTGTGTACACATGCAGCTCCTGCTCTTTGGCAAGCAGTCATAGCAAGGAGTAATTGCTGAATTCCTCTGTGGCAAAGTCCATGTTTTTTTAGGTTTTGCCTTGTGTTTCTATTTTTTATGAGAAAAGGGGAGGAAGTTGCAGAATACAGCCAGATTATGCTTATCAGGTAGCAGCATATGCATCAGCAACACATCAGTAGCCTTTGCCACTTTCTAATAAATAATACTTACAGGCTTATTGCACAAGCATGATTTTGGTTAATTTGTTTAATAAGGTGAATTTTGCTGGATCTCTTCTGTTATTAACACATTCACCAATACATGGTATTGTCACCAGAGTACACAAAAATCTTTTCATTGGCTGAAGAAATTCCTCTACTGGAACAGAGCACCTTTTTGTTGCTTAGACAGACAGTATAGTCATTGTGTTAAAATTTGTAAACTAGGGCCTTTATCAGAAGGCAGCTAGACAACATTCTTCTTTGGAATCTCAGATTAACATGTTCTCTTTCTCTAGTTTTGCGGGTACTCTGAGGATGGAAGGGCCAGTTAGGAGGCTGAGCAAAGCCATTGCTACAGATAGCAAAGAAATGCATCTCACTCCCAGTGACATTGCTGTGAAGATGCAGAAGAGGAACACCAAATTCCAAGACTTGCTGCAGGTACAACAGGAACAAGGGATAAGAAACTCTGACAATGTAATGGCATGAGGAAAAAGGAAAGAAGGCACTTGCTAGAAGGGCAACAAATGCTTTCCAGTGTCTAAAGTTTATGTGCAGATACAAATTCTATAAAGACTAATGACAAGCTCTCTGAGCAATAACCTAACACATAAAAGTTATGACAGTGCATTTGTAGACTTTATTTTCACAGATTTCACTTCAGATTTGGTCTTCCAAACTGTACTAGGTAATTAAAACCATTTTTTTGTTAGCTGACAGAAGGTTTGATGGCCTTGCTCTTAAACATTTCCTTTCATATATTTCCAATATTAATGAAGTTGTTTATTTAGACATTTGTTGTTCACTTAGTTATAAAGATGGCCATTATGCAAGAATGTTTTAAAGAAGAGTAAAGCAGCTAATCTGTAAAATCAGATACCTGTGCTCACAGAAAAGCACACGCCAAGATTTATGTATAATTTGACATGTATTTTGAAAAAGAAATCAACCGTTACCCCATACAAACCTTACAATTATTCTGGCCTATACAACTGTACAAATTTATGATCACCTAACCTAAAGCTTGTTGAAGAATTGGCACCACAGGCCTCTATAAAGCCTCATAACATAGAAACATGGGGGTTCCAAAGCATTTTTCTAGCACAAGCCACCCTATATATCAACAATAAACTGCTCCCTAAAATGGTTTAATCTGAATACATGTAGTCTTTCTAATTTTAGTCTTCCTGATTTCTTATCAAAGGCATGAACGCTCCCAGAAGTGTGAGTCAGCTCAAAACAACTGCTAGGGTAAGTTTACAGGATCCAGACATTGTCAGAATACTCACTTTCAGCCTCTCAAGTAAAGGTGTAAAACGAAGTATGCCACAAATTAGTGTAAACTAAGAAGTGGTGTCTTGCCTTCCAAGTGCGTGTTCTGCTTTAGCAGTGGCTAAGAACAGTAGCTGATTTTTCTCTGCAGCTCCCACATTGTCTGGGACTTGCTTCTTAAAATAATGTCAGGAAAAGTTTACCCAAGTATGTTAACAACTTCTAATCCATTGCAAGCGATGGCCCCTGGTTCTGAATAAGGTTCCTATTTGTCTAGCCTCTTACCAGTGCCTGACACTGGTATATAGTAGTTTTGATGTAGGCGTGACAAAACTCCCAAGACATTCTGATTGGAGTAATATTTCTTCTGGTTAATGCAGGTGTTAAAACTTTTGGGAGGACGAATTATGGGCCAAATTTTTAGGGGAGTACTCCCTATGCTAGATTATGTAGACAAGCCTTATGTGAGAAAAGACTTCTGGGAGTAATCTAGATCCTGTGATGAGAGGCATGTAATTGTTGTGCATGTAATAGGTACTTTCACGTAAAGAAGCAGCTGTAAACCTCTTAATCAGACAGGTTGAATTGTTTGTGAAGTACTCTAGAACAGGTGAACACAATCTTTTATATTTTACAGGGAATATTTTCATGAAGGGTAATACTAACTACTTTTCTCATTCCAATTCATCTTTTATTTATGTCTTATAAAGATGCAAACCTTTATTCTCAACTGCCAGAAGAGAAAGCACCAAACAAAACAAAATGCTGTGTAAGCAAAACATTCCAGTGCCTAAGTCCCTCCCCTTAGAAGGGATGGATATAAAGATCACCAAACTCATGGTAGATAATTACTCAAGTGTCAGGAGTGGCTACACTGAGATGACAGAGCTGCTCAGTCACATGATTGCTCCTGTATCATATGAGCAGGATCATGCCTGCCATGCTAGACTTGCACTGGCAAGGAGAGGAAGGTGGAGTGGGAAGGGATTGAAGTATTTTAAAGCTTACCCTCCTGTTAAATACACACCTTCTTCAGCACATTCCTGTCAAGTTTTTAGATACCGTATCAACACGTGGGGCAAATCTAGACACTGTGCAAATCTTTGGTTATTAAAACCTTTTTGCAAATAAGTCAATAATACTAACAAATCAAAATAGGAGCCCTTGACCTTTGTTTTGCACTCACCTAGTAGGCCTGCATATGACTAAATAAAACACAAGACACTGGAAAACCAGGCTTAGTGTGTGCATGTCCATATGTTATCTCTGTACCCCTGTCTCCTCCTTTTCATTCTGAATAATGATCAGGACTAGGCTGAAACTGAATGAGAAGTCCATGTTCCAAAGAAGCAATGCGATATTATAGTTTAAAAATCAGTTTGTTAGAATTGAAAGCTGGGCGGATGTTAGAAGCAACCTGGAGAGAGTCAGAAAGAGAGGTTGAATTTAACACAAGTAAGTTTTTGGCAACTTTCCTGTTAAAATCTATGGCCAATGCAATCTTGCAGAAGTAGTTTTAGAGCTGAAACTTTTCTTCCAATGGTAACAGCAACCATGTATTTCTACTGATTTGTGCTGAATAGAGATTGAACTATGCAGACAAAGCAAGGTGCATATGAGAGTTCAGAGACAGCATAAAGCCTATGCAGGACTATGAGCTGTTGAAAATCCAAGTAGCCTGTTTTCTCTATTCCAATGCTGTTAGTGGGTGCAAAGAGGTGAAAAGTAGCTCAAAAATATCCAGGTTACACATGAGTTTATCTCCAGTGGTGGAGATACACTGCCAGTTCAACATCTATTTTACAGAGGGATGTTATGCCTCTTTTGCCTTGCGTGAGTTAATTTCTGTACGGACCATATAGGTACAAAATCATGCACCCTAGTGTTATGAAAGAGACATTAGTACTCTCTGTGGATCATGTTTGTCCCTACTTGAAGAACCATTATAGTACAATAGACTCATTCAACACAAGTATTTGTCAGGGAGATTTCAGACAAACCTGTACTTTTTATTTTTGCCCATCATAAAGTAATTAAAACTCAATTAATATGTAGAAAAAATGAAGCGATATAAGGCTGTGATTCTGCATTAAGTCATATAAAATCTGTGTATGCTGGATTTCCTGGCAGTAAAAATTTAATCTGTTATTGGTGTGAGCACAACTGCATTTTTACCAAATCACCCAGAGCATATGTTACAGTGTTTATTCAGGGTTTGTGCCAGCTTTCTGTCAGTTGAGCAGGATAAATTATGCCCGAACCAGCAGAGAGTTAGAGTGGTACAAACAGAAAATATCTGATAGGACCTCTCCTGGGACAAAATTATTTCTTCAAGCTATTTACTACCACATGGAATGATAACCTACCACCCTAATAAGCTATAAACCCTGCATAGTCCTTAGACAAATCTGTTTCAAGTCAGAGCATGTCTATATCTGATTAGCTGTAAATAGACTGACAATTTTTTCCTCAGAGGGAAAGAAGGGGAGAGACACAAATTCAAATTATATTTTTCACCTTAGGCAAGTACAGAAATGTTCAAGAATATGATTTGTGTAGAAATCTCAAGTGTACTCATGTGCAAATGTAATTAATGAGATGGGAAAAAATGAGTCATAATGATAAATAGAAACATAATTCTTGAAATTGCTGGGTTAGGTTTGAGCCCATATTGTGAAAGAAAAAGGATTTGATTCTGTGCTTCCCACCATATTTCTTCTTTTAAGTATGCAGCTGCTGTGTCATGTTACAGATCTGTGACGTTTCATTCTGAAGCTGAATTGTCATGACAGTAGTTATGAGAGGTGAAGATTGTAAACCACAACATTGCAGTGTAAACCCAGTGATTTTTGAGATTTCCTAAGTCAAAGGGCTGAATCCATCAGTAAGTGCATGCAGGTTTTACTGTCTTTGATATAAAATCAGCTGGGGTCATGTACAGTTTTTGTTGGGATTTTGTTAATTTTCATTGAAATTTCATTAGAGTTTGTGAACTTACTTTTGTCACTGCAGCATTGTCTGTCTTTGGCCAGGGATTGTAAGTGACTGCAATGCAACTTTCCGTGGCAGTATTGCTTAACATTGTGCAGGCCACCCTGGCTATTTGTTTCCACCTCCACCTGTACTGCAGTCTTTACTAGGCTAGCACAGCAATTTTTTTGGGTGCATCCTAGAGTAGCCTATGGAAGTGATTTAACTGAAGAAAAGCAGGGATTATGAAAGCTGGCATTGCCACTGAGTTTTTTTCCCTCCAAACTGCATTGTGTATGAAAACAAATGGAGCTGGGAATTTGGAGCAGACCTGGCAAAAGGGTATGATTGTGGTTTGGAATAAACTAAAAGAGGGATGATTCTTCTCAAGGTAAGAGCATACTTGTACCTCCATACCAGGAAATCAGTTAAAGTAGAAAAGGGTATCCTGAAGTAGATGCAGTCATATGAACACAAGAATTCTTTTTAAAAGTGTAGCACATACTGGGGACTGTAAATCAGCTTTGTTATGGTATGACTACATCTATACCACTGGTGCTTAACAAAGTTAGTAAAAATGTTCTAACTGATGGAGTGATGCTAATAAAACTTTTATGTGTACAATACCCCTAAAAATTGGAATAATCAATAAATAACATACACGACTAGTGTTAACATTGCACACCCCAAATTCAGCAAGAATTCCTATTATGCAAGTCTGAGTTTGTAGAGCTGTAATTCTACTAAGCTAGCACTGTGGGAGAATGCAGAAGTTACTTTTTAGAAGTTGAAGTGCCATTTTATTTCTCTTGATACATTTTTGGGGAACTTTCCAAAATCAGTCTTGGCACAGCTGAAGCATCTTTAACATTCTTCTACTACTGTTTCTTCTACCGCTGTCACCTTTTAAAAGCTTATGTTTTTAGCATTCTTCTACCACTATCATTCTTAAAAGGTTATGTGTGTTCTCCAAATGGGACCAGATTGTACTGAAAGACTGTTATTTTTAATACAGTTTCCTGTGGAGGAATAACCCGAACTCCTGGCAACACACCACTATTCAATTCATACAAAGCACTCACATCATTTACTCCAGAGACAGGCCTGGGCTCACAACCATTCCAATGTAATCTCTGCTCTCTACTAGCAGTGGTATTTTAACTGCAATCACATTACATTATAGGCAAGTACTAAAGGTATACAGGAAGAGAACTTAAAACATCCTTTGGGGTTGAATTTTGCAAAAAGTGATGCTTCATAAAAGCTCGTCAACACAAACTACTTTCAAGCGAAAGTTTATTAAATATACTAAATTAAGGTCTGATGATACATAGCAATTTGCTACATATGGGGATGCTTAAAGCAAAATGTGATTTATGTATTTGACTTCTACCTGCAAGAGAAACGTCTGCCGTCCAGTGTGTGATTTCAGTGCACTTGGGATGGAATGAGTCCAGCTACCTAGCGGCAGACATTATAGAGGCACTTTCTTATGCTGTTATGGGTCTCAGAAACTCAGGACTGACCAAAAATCCTAAAGCAAAGAAACTACTGAAGGCTGTTTATATGGCTTCCCCACATACTCCGAGGAGGATCCAATCTCATTGAATGATAGGGCCTGCTAATTTGTGAAAAAAAAAAAAAGATGCATGTGATTTCTCCTGATCAAGTGTCTTATAAAATAATGGCAATTTTTTTGTAATACCGTGCCCTAGGAGTCAGCATTTTCCTATAGCTCTCCTGTGTCCTTCCCATAAATGCTGTGCTGAGGTCCTAAGTGTTCTTGCTCTTTGCATGGAAAAGGCAAAAAAGTACAAGGAAGACTAGAATTCAAACTTTTGAGGGCACTTGTGAATTGAGCTGGGTCACAGGCCCTCATGCAACATCCTTTTTGAGCAAAAGATGTGAAGATAATCAAAAAGAAAACTCATGTGTGCTGGGCCTTTATCAGAATTCAAACTAAGGCAGGATATTTTAAAAAGACATTGACAACTTATTTTTCTGTTTTG